TTTAACACCAAGTGTTTTCTGTCTATAACCATATAAACTTTGATAAAAATCTAGACAAATGATTTTTTAAGCAGTATATAGCTAGATTATTTGACTTTTTAGTATCCCTTGCTAAATCAAAAAAGAAAGTTCAATCAGTCAATTATACGAGGGAAAACAAAATGTTGATATTTTCGTTAAAGTTTGAAACAGCCTGTGGAATATGTTAAGACAGCAAGAAATTTAAAAATAATTTGATCAACTTGTTATATTTTTTTCTCGATAGTTCGGTTTTTAGTTCATCTCATTTGCTTTATTTTTTTTTGGAGATATTTGCCTTTGAAGAAGGCACTAACATTTTTTCCTAATTTTTACAATAATGACATGGTTGCCCTTGCTTTTGGTCCCAGTCAACAGACCTATGAGATAGTGTTAATGGTGATGGTGCTAGTGGTGGTCGAAGAGTTTCATGAAGATCATATTTTGAGTTGATCGAGACTGGTGCTCTGCCTCTGGCATGTCTAGGACCAGGATCATTTTAAAATTCTAATAAATAAAACAATAAATGCGAAGTAACATAATAAAATGGATCTATTTCTACACAAGTGATTCGACGCTTTTTTGTACAAATAAACATTTTATTTCGCTGTTACATTTGCTTCTTTAAAATCTTAGCTTAAGAATATAGGTACAGTAGATGAAAGGGCAATATGAAAAATAATAAACATAAATATAAAAAAATCATCATCATCATCATTTTCAGCTTATTCAATCAGTTCCAATTATGGTGTAGGCTCCCTTACATAGTCTCTTTGTAATTGGGACCATTGTTGTCTATTGTGGGCTATGCGGGTATAAGTTATCCCTGCTAATTTCCTAATATTATGGTCCCATCTCGGTTCGGCTTTCCTCTAGGTCTCTTAATTCCTCGTTAAATGCTGTAATTGTTGTAGTCCATCTGTTGTCTGTTCTTCTTGCCAGGTGTTGTTATATCGAGTCGAAATCCTTCTACAAAGACTATGGCTAGTGGAAGGTTGTATTATTTTGTTCGGCTGTTTCTCTTATGCTTCGTCCTACGTGGGAGACGTCCTACGTGGGAGACAAGAGCACGCGATTCGGGTGGTGCGAGCGACGCGTATTTATCAAACAACGTTTTCTTACGAAGCTGTCCTAGGAAGGAGATGCGCGCTACTGAAGTGGCATCGCAGGCAATTGAATTATGTCGCGCTCATCGCCCTCTGTTGTCGCACGCGTCGCCCGCTCGCTTTTGTCTCCCACGTAGGACGAAACGTTAGTGTATGTATGTGATCAAACGTGCTGAAGCCGCTTTTAAAGCCTGCTTGCTCTCGTGGTTGTGCAGCGTCTAGCTTGTTTTGTATTTTATTGTTCATTATTTTTTTGTAAATATCTTGTATGTTACTGGTAGTAGGCTATTATTTTAGGCTTAGTTTAGGCTTAGTTTCCGATGTGTCCTTTGCTGCCTTCCTTATTAAAATTAGAATTATGTTGGCGCTATTCCAGTCTTGCGGTATATTTTTGCTCCTTAGACAACTGGTGATATATTTGCTAGTATTTTCCAAGTTCTCCTACCAGTGTACTTAAGTATTTCAGCTGTTATTCCGTCGCTCCCTGTTGCTTTTCCATTTTTCATATCTTGAAGCGCCTTTTCTACTTCTCCCACGAGTATTTCTGGGACGTCGCTCGTCGTCTTGTGGTAGTGGCAGTCTTTCTTCTTCATGTATGTCTTCTGGTGCTTTATACAGGTTGCTGTAGAATATTCTTATCAGGCTAATTATTTTTGTTTTTTTTTGTCTGTTATTCTGATGTTGTTATGTGTTAATGCGATTAGCTCCTTTCCGATCATGAGGGATTTCTTAGCATTCTTATTATAGCTATTCCGTGTTCGATTGCAGATTGTATAAGCTTTTCATTGTAACTATTGATGTCTTCTGCAATCCTCTTTCTTATTGTCTTACATAATTCTGTGTATTCCCCACATTATTCTCTGTATGTTGGTCTTGGTTTTCATTTCTCTTCTTTTCTTGAGAAGTGCTTTCGTCTCACCAGTCAGTTTATTATCTTTATTATGTCGCTGTGGGCCTCCGATTTCTTTTGCACAAGTTAGTACAGCATCCATGAGCTGTTCTGTATTTGTTTCTTCTTCAGGCAGCCTGCTTTTGAGCAGCTGTTCATATTCACTGGATCTTTCTTTTAGTATGTTGGTGTGTACTCTATTTGTTGTTTGTTTCCTGATCAATTTTAGTCTTTCTAGTTGATTGTCAAGGACCATTCCCGTTCTGATGAATCTGTGGTCAGTCTATCCGAAAATTGTTAAGAACACCCACATCACACGTGTTTGTCTTGTATATAAACAAAATAATACAATTAAATGAGAGAACACCAATAGTACTTAATAATACATTAAAGTAAATAATTACAAATCAAACAAGAAATATAAAACAAATACTGCAGTTATTATATGATTTTTCATTTCAACTATAAAAAAATAGTAAATTAAAAAATTAATTTAACCACTATATATTTATTTGTACCCTTGTATGAAAGCTCAGAGATTTATTGTTACTTATATTTTAATATTATAATAGGTCCAGTATATAGCGTTTAACGCCTTGGGAGTAGCAAGGTACAGCTTGCCGTGCTAGAGCCGTTCGGTATACAAGGAAGGTAATGTGGCTAGCACTACGCTTCAACCGCCTATCTATACTAATATATAAAATCCTTAAGTGACTGACACACTGATTAATCACGATCCTGCTCAAACCACTCAACGTAAAAAGCTCAATTTTGGCATACAGGTTGATTCTAGGGTGTAGATGTTCGATAAGAAGGGATTTTTCGAAATTCCATTTCCAAGAGGGTGAAAGCACCCCTCAAATATTACAATACTTTTTATTTAAAAAACGGTCTCCAAAAAGTTTCCGAAAAAACGCTTAAAAACGTATATTTTATTTTGTTTTTTTACATATTTTAAAATACCTGCATGTTTTAAAATACCTTACATATTTTAAAATACACCCTGTATACATTTTTAAAAATGTATACAGGGTGTTTCGAAAAATATGGTCATTGATTAATCACGATCCTGCTTAAAGAGCTTGACGTAAAAAGCTGATTTTTGGAAAGCAGATTGACTTTAGGGTGTAGAGGTTCGATAAGAAGGGATTTTTCGAAACTCGAATTCTAAGGGGGTGAAACTATCCCTCAAATATTAAAATATTTTTTATTTAAAAACCGGTGAGTTTTTCGGAAAAACTCTTAAACACGTATATTTTATTTTGTTGTTTTACATATTTTAAGATTTTTTATAAATTTATAAAGGGTGTTTCATAAAATATGACCATTGAGTAATCACGATTCTGCTTAAACTGCTTGACGACTGCTTGATTTTTGGCAAATGGATTGACTGTGGGGTGTAGAGGTTCGATAAGGAGGGATTTCTCGAATTTCAAATTCCAAGAGGGTAAAAATCCCTCAAATATTACAATATTTGTTATTTAAAAAACGGTTAGTCTTTCGAGAAAACGCTTGGCGAAGCATAATTTATTTGTTCTTTTACATATTTTGAAATTTTTAAAAAAATCATACAGGGTGTTCCAAGAAGTTGTGTAATTTCTTAACCACGATTCTGCTTAAACTGCTTGACGTAAAAAGCTTATTTTTGGCAAACGGATTTTTCGAAAGTCAAATTCCAACGAGATGAAACTATCCCTCAAATATTACCAAGTTATATAATAATATCGCCATATTGTTTTTTCTCATGCTGACATAAATGTGAGAAAATTTTATCCAGTTTGTATGTTAATGGAAATTTTTGCTTTGCTTTATCATCACCATTACAAATGATTAATTCGACGCGAACGAAGTCGCTGGTACACGCTAATTATATATATTACCTTAGGATTGTGAATCCCAAGTACTCATTTAAGGCTGAGTCGACCTAGGTACCCAAACTATTTTTATTTAATTTTATTTTAATAAAAATAGTCGGATGATGAAATGCCGGCTGTAGGATTCGAACCCACAACCTTGAGATTGGTAGACAAGAGCTGTACCTCTACGCCACCGGGCACCTCTTTATATTTATTTATATTTTCATAATTTTATTGTACTTTCTTATGTGTACCTATCAGTAGTAATGGTTTATTTAGATTTTTAAAAAATATTTATTTACATTTGCACTGTTCCAGATATTTTCGACCATTTTCGAGTGAGTCTAGCATTTTATTAGTATTTCTGAGCAATAATATACAGTGTAGTCCGAATTGTGTTCGGAAAACTTCGGTAGTACAGATAAAAATATGTAAAAATGTTCGTATAAATTTATTTCCTAAAATGCTTCATTTCGCAGATACAAGGTGTAGAAATTTCAGTTTTATTTCGATTTTTTCCAAATTATTTCTGAACTAAGGTCGATATTTGAATGAAAATTGGTGTGTGGGAGTTTTTTGATGTGGGAAATTTGATTTTGATGTCAATATGACTCCTATTTTAACTGGTTTTCGCCGTTTTTTACGTAAAAAAGGTCTCTTGGTAAAAACCGCTACGAGTAATGTTTCTCGAGATATTTATAATCGAAATAATCAATACATGTTATGATTGACATTAATTAAACATGTTGACTGGATAGTTATTAGCCTGAAATAATTAATTAAAGAAATGTCTCTGTTCCAAAGGTTCAAGAGAAACTGTTTTATCGTATTTTTTTCGAAAAAAAAATTATGATTAATTTAAAAAAAATAAAAAGTTCCTAAATTTCTCATTTCTACACCTTGTATCCCAAAACGAAGAATTTTAAGACATACATATAATTTATACAAACTTTTTAATTATTATTTTTTTCTGCAGAAATGCTGCAGAAGTTTCCCGAATTCAATTTGTCCCACCCTGTATAATTTTCCGTTTATAAAACTTGCAGAAATCCATATTTCTATGTAAAGAAATATTGATTGTCCATTAGGATATTATGCAACCTTATTACTATATTCGTTCTTTTTTTCTAGGTACTATTGGAGCTATTTCCGATGGCATGCACTATGGTTGGTCCGCCCCATTCATGCCGATCCTCGAAAAAGAGGATAGCCACATCAAAATATCACACAGCGACGTCACCTGGTTAGAATCCATTTATCTGATTGGCGGTCTAGCGGGTCTTCCAGTTACTATTTATTGTGTGGACAGATTGGGAAGAAAATGGTCCATTTTACTTGCTGCCATTATATCGCTGATAGCCTGGATTCTCATTGGAATCGCCGACGACGTTATTTATTTGTATATAGCTAGGTAATGTTATATAATATAATTATAAGAACAAACGACTTACCTGTAGGAAGTTCGTTCTGAATTATATGAGTATCCTCGTCCAAATAGATATACACCCGTAGTATCATTATCATACTTTATCGAGCACATTTTATTCCCAATTACGTAAAGAATGCATTTTTTGTTAGCCATAGACCTTAGTCATCCGTACCCGACCGTCAGCCTTCTCATAACATTATTGTGCTTTGTCGAGTAAACAGTATAGTTAGAAGTGAAAATAAAAATACCGAAATATAGTAACAGGAAACGTACCTTAAGTGCTAGTGGTGATCTAACCTTATCATACCTTAAGTGCTAGTGGTCTAGATCATACCTTAAGTGCTAGTGGTCATAACATTATTTTGCTTTTAAATCAAAAAAGAATTTCTTGGGAGGGCTAGTATCGGTAGGGTTGGGACCTATCTATTTGGACGAGGATACTCATATAATTCAGAACGAACTTCCTACAGGTAAGTCGTTTGTTCTTATAATTATATTTCGTATCCTCGTCCAAATAGATATACACCCGTAGATGTTGAAAGAAAGAAATTCTTTTGTGGCAGTTTATATTTTGCTATTTTTTCCAACAGGTGATGTAAAATATACATAATCGTATGACATTTAATTATTTGACATTTAACATTTGATTAATTTAATACAATTTATAGTAACATAACTATAAACGTATATTTAAAGATAATATGTCAAACCCACAAAACAAAATATATAATCTACTCCTACATACATGTTATTATAATATATAACAAAATAGCAACAAAAATTAATGTAATATAATATGCATCACATAATTATGATTCTAAATTAGTATAACACATAGTAGTAGTATATAACACATATGTACATATTATACTAAGGATCGGCATTTTTGGTCTTGGGTGCCGGTTTTCATGTGTACGAAGAGTACGGTCCAACACGCTTAGTAAAATAAGATGTACTGAATAAAGACAGAAGGCGAGTATTTTCCCAAGCGCATGGAATCTAACGTCAGATTAAGTAGTTATGTAATAAATACTTCGTATTTTTGCTCACTCCGACTTAGTAGATTGCCATAACGACTCACTCTATACATTATACATATTGTTTGAAATACTTTTGATTTTGATTTTGAAACATTTAATGTTTTTGTGTATCGGTTTTTATTTTTTATAAAAGCGCCACACAGTTCCTTTTATCTAATTTTTTGCTTTTTTTTAATTTGTATATTAATATTTAAAAAAAAGGTAAATAAACTATTTGAATTTGAATTTGAATTATAAGTAATTAGAAAAATATAAAACATACTTATTAACATTAACACAATAAAGAGCAACTTACTAGAGCAGTTTATAATGACTGCACTTGCTTCCTGCATGTTTCTATAAAGTTATTTTTTTTCCCTTTATTCAGTGGACGATTATAAATTGTTTGAAATACTTTTGATTTTGAGGTCCACCCTATGGTATTCTTTTATTTGATCAATATTAAATCCCTTTCTGTAGGCCGCTGAAGACGTCGCGTATGTAATACTATGAGTACTAAACAATTTTGTGTTGATCCAGCGACCTATAGACTGGGAACTTGCCACTTGTTTTTTTTGAGTAGGAAAAAGATAATTCTCTTCTCCTCTTAATGATTCAGTTCTTTCTAGGTAAACTTCTAAAGTGCTGGCAAACATAAATCTTAATAGAAGAGTCGTCTACTTCAGCTATATTTTTTAGTGTCTGAACTCTCTGGCCAGTTGCAAAAATTAGGAGAGTAGCAAGCTTTTATGTGAGCAATTCTAATAAAAATTTTCAGTGGACACCATCTTTTATAAATTCAAGGACAAGTCAAGGACAATCGACCATTTCCAGATTTTAGTAGTGATAAAATTAAGGTGCAAATATTTTACACCTCCCATTTTATTAGTATATGATATTCTTGGTCTCAAAAACCTCTAGCGTTTAAATAATTACAATAGGTACCCTAACCCGATTTTGATGCATCAATAACCTAGTAAGTAAGAGTATATTTAGGAGGCATGAAATTTTGACCTGCACATTCTGTGTTTCTGAGCCACCAGCCGTAAACTTCAGAAAAAAAAAAAAAAAACTTGTTGGCACAAAGAACGTGTTATAATTTTCATTATTTTCCTCAAGGGCTTTGTATTTAGCTCATTCAAATCTCTTAGTATCTATAAAACCAGCTGTATTTATCTGCGGGACAAAAAGAAATTAAAGTGCTTGTAAGTTGCGAACAAACCATCTTATAGTTAGTATGGATACATACCATCTATATTTTCTGGAATATTTCAGCACTAACTTTTTAATCTTACATTTCTTTGTGTCTGTAGGATACATTTCCATTAATTTTGTATTTAAAATAAAATCTAAGTATGAAATTTCTTGAGTAGACGTGAAGATACTTTTTTTTTATTTATTTATTTATTATTCTTTTTTTTTATTTAATTTATATTTCCAGTACATTCCGCTAAATGTTTGTCTAATAAAAGAACATCGTCAAGATAACAGTTGTTAATTATTACCGGTGTTCAGGGTGTTGAAAAACATATGCATAGTGCAAATTCCAAGAAAAAAAGCTTATTTTTTATTACTATTATTATTATTATTATTTATATTTTAAAAGTATAATTTAAATTCCAGTTTTCTGCAATGAGAGTTTCTGGATAACTATATTGTTAAGGTTAGTCTTAAATTTTAGGTTTAGGTCTACTAGTTTAGGACCTAAAAGGTATCGCAATCGTAACCATATTTATTATAACCTTTTAAATAACTTAAAACAAGTTTGTTATGTGTTATTTTCAACCATTGGCTGTAAATAGTCAATTATACCAGCATATTTGTTTTGAGTTCTAACCTGAATTATTGTCTCCTCCAATATATTCTGCCTTCTTTGGAATTCTTGTTCCTCCCTCGTTCTTTTTAAAATGACTCTTCTAGGAATTTTCCCCTTCTTATCTTCTCATTATTCTGTCTGTGGACCTTCACCTGGATCTCAAAGCACTCATTTTTAAGTGTTTTGATTTCTGAGATGAGCCTGCTAGTATTTTCAAGATTCTTGGCTTCTTCGCATTTTTCACTAAAACTTTACTAAAAAGCATATCATCGCTTATTTGGCCAATCGCCACTCTTTTAATTTTGCTATTCAAGTGTGAATTTAATAAAGAAAACCTTACAATGGTTCGTACAGTAGGATGCTCCTAACATAACGATTTCTCTAAATCTATCAGATTTTAAGGGCAACTGCAACCTTGGTTATTTTCTTTGGAAAGTTCCACTAACCTTGTAATTTTTTGGTCTAGTGGTGACATTGTTTTTCCTAAAAACGTGCTTTTAGGTCTATCAAAAAATATATTTCTTACTTTCTGTTGGAGAAAACATGATTTGGACCACCGGATTTAACCTCGGTCCCTAAAATATACTGCAATTGCTGGGAATGGGAGAAATATTTTAGACTTTCGTTTCTGTTACTAATTATAAGAAAGATAAGCATCCACCTAATTTCAAGTGTATCACGTATTTTAGGTCCTACTCCTACACAGATCTTTCTCTCTCTCGAATTTGAATTAATTGATTTTTTTTTTCTAGATTTGATTCCGAGGACGATTGGAATTAAATAAATATAAGTTTATTGTAAGCCATAATAATGTAAATTATTATGGCCATGAATTTTTATGAATTTTTTCAACCAATTTATGCTATATTGCAACCAAAAGATCTTTTAATTTGTAATGTAATTATATAACATGTAATTCTAAGACAAATCCTAATATAAACTCACTATCTGAATCTGTACCTTTAATAAAAGGCAAAAAAAAACATTTTTGGAAAGCGTTTAAAATATTTTATAAACTCAGCCTAAGCCTTGTATATAAGAATATATAAACAAGGGCCTAAAAGTACATTCGTGTAACTTCAGCAGTTCCCCGTCCCCATAGCAAGATGTTTAGTTTAAGCCTTGGTTTAAGAATCGATAGCGGTCACCTAGGTACTCATTTTTGTAAACAATTAGCTTTGGGGTTTTATTAATAAACAGATTCAGATTCGTTTTGACCTGTCTAAAAAATAAAAGTTATTATTTTATCAAAAGTGAGCAAAAAACACTCTAGAAAATGGTAAACAAACAACAATGTTGCGTCACCCTGCCGCTGTAGAAAAGCACTCCGTTCGGTGTTTTGTGGCCGGGTATAACATAATATATAGTTACCTGTTTGAATACAAGCTTTTATTTAATCAAAACTGCAAAGCAGATTTTTCAAATAAAGCCACAGAATAAAGCATCCGATATCTAGATCATTTTAATAGTTTTCTGAGACATACTAGCGTGCATAAGTGAAGGACTATGCTGGGTTACAATGTGTATAAGAGCATATGTTTACATCCACAAGGTGGATTAACCCAAGCTAGTAAATATTAGACAGAATGATAATACTTGTCTCACCATTTTCCAATTCCAGCCGGAAAATACAGATCATGTTAATGTAACCCACGTGTATATAATTATATCCACAGGGTGGATTAACCCAAGCTAGTAAATTAACTAAAGTAAATCTACTACCTCTTCTATCTCTAAAAATATATAATTACTTACTTGTTACGCCCCCAGTTGACAAAAAATAGCTTTAACAGTTATAGCTATTACATGCAATTTGAGACTTAACAGTTATGTCTCTTTTTATATTTGGCTTTAACATTTATAGCCAGTATCTACAAAAGTATTTAGAACTCACTTTCGTTCTCATCACTAGTACTACTGTCTCTTTTATACTTGGCTTTAACATTTATAGCCAGTAACTACGAAAGTATTTAGAACTCGCTTTCGTTCTCATCACTAGTACTACTGTACTTATACGCCGTTTTCGATCCAAAAAATACAATTTTTTCAAGAGATGTCTTCTTTCCCTTTCCAACCTTTCACTTTCATCACCACTAGCACTTAAGGTACGTTTCCTGTTACTATATTTCGGCATTTTTATTTTCACTTCTAACTATACTGTTTACTCGATAAAGCACAATAATGTTATGAGAAGGCTGACGGTCGGGTACGGATGACTAAGGTCTATGGCTAACAAAAAATGCATTCTTTACGTAATTGGGAATAAATTGTGCTCGATAAAGTATGATAATGATACTACGGGTGTATATCTATTTGGACGAGGATACGAAATATAATTTATAGTTTACTTTTTCTTAGTAGAACAATTCAGTTGATAGCTTTCCAACGTTTCGGTCACATTTTGATCTTTTTTAAGGAACAACAATAGAATTATCATACTTAGTAAGAATCAATCTAAGAAATATTTCAAAACGAAAATAAAGATGACTTTTCTAATATTTGGTGTAGCTTTCTCAATAGATTTAAATTTGAAAATTGTTTTTAAACAATAACACTCAAACTATAAAAAAATAATGTATACTTTCGCTTATACATTATTGCGGTTTGAAATGCTTGGCTTTTGTAAATGATGGTTCAATAAATCATTTGTCCGACTTATAAATCCTTTTTCATCTCAATCGATCTAGTAACTTCTAAACGAAAACGAAAATCTTTTTTAAGCATAGCACTGATAAAAACAAAAAAGTTTTGTTTCTTTCAGTGCTATTTTGCATCACTAGCTATGAAAAAAAGTTATTTCGTAACCTGTTGCGAAGTAAAATATCTTTCAAACCGTCAAAAGATTATGAAGGGTATTAGCGCTCAAACGCACTGACGACCGGGGCATGTTTCATAAAAATGAAGAGTTGATGAGCCACGAGTGAATAATAGTGAAGAGTTGAGGAGCGAAGAGTAAATGTCGTTTAGGTTTCAAAATAAATTTGTGTCTACTCTTCACAATTCATGAAGACTTGACGAGCAGCATCCTAAAAACGAAATGGGTAATATACATAAAAAAAGCAAATGATTTTACTTCAATTTTATTTCGCTTTATGCATACCACCCAATATCGCCTAGTCGGTTTTTTTTTTGTTTACCTTGCCAAACAGGCTGATAAAATACCAAAATTTTAGAGAAAGACTTTGAAAACACACAATTTGAAAAAACAATAATTACATATTTTATCATAGCAGATAGATAATATTTCAAAAATTTACCTTTTAAATATGATGAATAAGCCATTGAAATTACCTGTGGCATATTTGCTATACGGTGAAAATTCTGGGCAACCAGATGCATGTTCTCTGGAAATTTGAGTTTTGACTTTTACGAATTTATGCACGATGCACTGTGGCAGTGGATATACCATGCATATCTCCGACAGCATGGTATTGCCCAAGTAGCATCTATCTGACTTCGAACTAAATCTGACCTGAAGCGACGTCAGACTTTGTGCAAATTTAAGTCGGGTGCTGGTGATACGACCTGTGACGTCGCTTACCTATTAAAAGCGACGTCGTTGGATCCGAGTCGGTAAATCCAACGATCTGTCGACGTACAAAATAACAAAGTATCATTTTTATTAATTTCCCAACGTCGTTCCCACGTTGGCTGGCACGACGTACATATACTTGAACTAGCCCGACGTCTACCCGTTGTCCGAATAGGATACGTCCCACTAATAATCCCTAAAGTAACGTCCAATTATATTTTGTTGTATATTATGTTCATATTTATAACCTAATTTACGTATCTCTGTTTACGTCCGTAAATACAACTCATTAAGTAGCATTTGCGGCCTAATGAACATCATGAACATTACCTAATAAACAGTTTTTGTAAACAAACTTAATTTTTTTATTATGCCTAAAAAACACTAAAAAGGCATTTAGACATTCATCTACATTTTACAAAAAGCTGATAAATAAAATAATAATAGTAGTAGTGATGTCTTGCCTCCACCCACGAGTGTTTTTTATCCGGAAGAGATGCTACATTACACTGGTGCATCTTAATTTAATTTTTTAGCTTAGGAAACCAGCAGACCTCATCCTCCTCCCACATGTGAGGTACTGGTTCCAATTCTTTTAAATTTTGTATATATACTATCTTAAAAAAGTGGCTGCCCTTTTTTTTAAGGAGAAAACAAAAACTAAAATATAGTTGCACAAATCCACAAATCACTGGTACGCAAAGTGAGGTTACGTGGCGTACGTTGGAATTATATACGTCATAATACGATTGCCGGTCGTCCGGTTTGATGACTTCGGTCGTGTGAGACGACTAATATTGTAGACCCGGTCGGAATTGGTATATTGGTAGTTAATATTAAGTCGGACACAGGAATCCGCCATTCTTAACAAGTATCCGATTGTCAGCCATTTTAAAATCGTTTTTTGTTTTTAAAATTTATATTCACATTCCGATTTCTAGTAGAATAATATTGATAAGGTTGAATTTGGGGGGAACGACAGTACAGTTTTATGATTAAACCAGCTAGAAAATAAAAAAAATATTTTGCGAGTTACTTTTTTATAGATATTTTTATTTCATAAATCTACCTAATTTTGAAGGCGCTCGTTGTTTTCCGGAGTATTTTAATCAGATATATCAATAAAGTGACTTCCGTTGACAAAACTGATGTCTGGATTAATGATTCAGAATTATTATAATATGAAATTAGGTAGGCACTTATAGTTATATTCGAGGATTATGAATCCATTTGTAATTAGGTAGTTTGGTTAGGTTTTTATGTATTCTTGGTAACGAATATGAATCCAAACGTAACGTAAGTGCTTAGCGACGAATTTTAAGTAACTAAAATTCAACGTAATATGACGTTGGTAATTGGTAGAATTACATTCTCTATTAGGTCAGATACCGACGTCGAGGCGACCCGAATCTGTATTCCCCATTTAGGTGCAAATAAGGGTCATCAGGCGGTCGAACCGACGTTGGTACCCGACGTCGGGTTTGTTGGACGCGACGTATACCCGACGTTAGATAACGTCCAAATGCTACTTGGGTGTACGCCTGTTCCCAGCGAATAAAGAGCCACCTCAATAATTTGTTTAACTCTTAATCCTCCTCCTCTAGGGCTTTGCTTCAGGTCGTTATCCAGAATCATTTGAAGAGAAGTAAATATTTCTTCACACATCCTGAATTTGGCATTTGCATAAAGGGGTCGATTTTCTAACCACCCGTAGCTTTTGAACTCGTATCATTTATAATACATAGATTCGTAAGTATATTGTGCCAAATATCTTACCTTACTCTCTTCCTATATAACTTTCTTTGCCTATGTCCATGCATTTTCTTAATCAGAAGAAGAATCACTGCTAAATAGTAGGTTTTGTATATTATTATATTATATAGTATATTTAACAAAACTTTGGTTGTATGTCATCAATGACACCATGCGTCGTCTTATGGAGTTTGCTGGTGGTCGTATTATGATGTGCATCCAAAGTTTTGTTAAATATACTATATATGATGTGCACTATAACGTATTTGAACTAAAAATGAGGGTTTTCGTAAACTCGTCAGTAGATCTTGACGCAATGACGAGCGAAGAGTGTTTATGAAATAAAATTAAACATTTTTCAAACTAACCAATTTTTCACCTCGTCACTTTTCAACTCTTCACTTCTCAATCTTCAAAACTTTTATGAAATGAAATGTAACATTTTGCAACTCCTCACTCGTCAACTTTTCAACTCTTCATTTGTATGAAACAGGCGCCGCGCCGGTCGCAGCGATCAGCATTTGAGCATTGAATCAAATGCTGGTCGTCAGTGTGTTTGAGTCCTTATTTTAAATATACGTAAAAAAATAATATCTTAATATTATGACAACATAGGTATTACATTAAAATTACAAAAAAGAAAATCTAGAAAAAATTCAGTGGTTTTTAAGTATTTGTTTTAAAAATTTTCAAAATAAAATAACTCAGCTATTTTGTACTTGAAAAAGGATAAAGAGAGAATATGTTTCTTTAGCGAGATCTACCAGTCTTGGAAATATTTGCACTTATTTAAGACTCACCCTGTATATTAAAGCCAAAATTATAACAGAAAAATATTTCAGAATTATTTTCGATATTTTAACTAATTTTAAATGTTATGCTTTATTTTGTTTTCAGATTTATGACGGGCTTATCCGGTGACGTAGCTTTTGTCGCCGCTCCTATGTACATAGCCGAAATAGCCGACAAGAAAATAAGAGGATTCCTTGCTGGTGTCATTTACGTTATGATGTTGGTAGGAATATTAGTCGTTTACGCTATTGCACCTTTCACGCCGTTCTATACCTCATCAATCGTGGGATCAGCTTTTGTGCTAATTCAACTGATCACTTTTCCATTCATGCCCGATTCCCCATACTACCTACTGTCCAAAGGCAAAGGAGAAAAGGCCAAGACACACTTAAAGAGGCTCAGAACGGGAGGAAACCTCGAAAAGGAATTCGAAGAGATAACGGTGGCAATTAGAAGACAGAGAAGCGAAAGAGGACGTCCGCAAGATCTCGTAATCAACAAGGGCAATCGTAAAGCTCTGATCATTATGGTCGTATTAAACGCCGCCCAGCATTTCAGTAGTATCAGTGTGATGCTGATGAATTTGCATTCGATTTTAAAAGAAGCAGAGTCCGAGTACGTTTCGTACGAGGTAGCTGGTATTATGTTCTCCGCCTTCATGTTGATAGCAGCGACCATAGCCGATTTTATCTGTGACAAGTTCGGACGCAAGGGCCTCCTTATATCCTCCAGCTTATTGAGCGGAATCTCGTTATTCGTATTGGCGGGATACTTTACAATGAAAAAATCGGGTCAGGACGTCGCTGGAATTTCCTGGATACCCATCGCTGCAGTTATGGTGTACGCCGCTGTTTTCAAATTTGGACTGGGAATTATACCCATAGTAATGACAGCCGAACTGTTCCCGGCTAAAGTGAAAGCTATGGGCATGACATTGGCTGATTTCTCCTACCTATTCTTCGGATTACTGTCAGTAGAAATGTACCAGAGATTAATAGACATTTATTATCTGGATCTGCCATTCTACATTTTCGCTTCAACGACAGTTTTGACGGCAATATTTTCGTGGCTCTACATTCCAGAAACTAAAGGCAAGACATTGGACGAAATTCAGTTTATTTTGAAAGGAGAACCGATTCCCGAACGGAAGATTAGTGGACAGCAGCTTGAAAATGGAGGCAACGATGGAGATATTAAACTGACTGAAGTTAATCTTACCGATAAAGTAAGGTTTTTTTTTTAATTTTGAAATTACTGCTTTTATGATTTTTTCCATACCCCTGTTGTTGATGTACACATTAAATGAGTCTTTATACAACTCATTTAGTTTTACCCTTAAATTTTAAAAACTATTTTATTTGCAATAAAGATCCCTGCAAAAATTAGTACATCTTTCTTAGGAATTTTATCCTAATAAAAATCTATAGAATTAATTTTTATTGAGCTTTTTCACTTTTACTTTATTGAAATAAAGTATCAAAGATTGTTGTTTCGTTATAAATCAAAGTGTAGACTTAACCATATAAGTTTAATATGATTCGTATAATCTATAGTACTTAATTTTTTAAGTGCCTATATTAATACAATATTATTAATTACTTTTGGTCGAATTGTTATAAATACGATCTTCACCAATTAGAGTATATTATATATGGACCCGCCTTTAGATAGCAAATTATATATTATATCATTTTTTTTTTTTTTTTTTTTTTTTTTTTTTTTTTTTTTTTAATTTATAGAAAATTGTTACGGCTTCAAGTATGTTCCAATGTGCAGTATGATCAAAAAACACCGTCAAGCTGGCTTGAAATGACGATCGATGACATTTCATATAATTTAAATATATAAAAGTAAAATAATGTTAATCTCTAATGAACCCTTGATTGTGCCTTTTTAATCTTGTGGTATTTGACTCTCATTAAATATTATTCTGTTATATAATATTGTTTATTATCATAAATGTAATTTTAAAGTAGTAAAAAAGAAATTGAAATTAAGCCCTTATTAGTTTGTGTTATTAGAGAGTATAATATTCTTCAAACGTGTTTTACAACAATATCTTTAGTAAAAGTAAGTTTACTTGTATAAACGACACAATGTGATAGATACATTACGAAATGCAATTATTGTTAAACCGATATAAATATAAGTCAAATTAGGAGAAAGTGTAGAGTCTACATTTATCAAAAAATGGATAAAACAGCAATTGTTTTAATTTCTTTATTGACAGTATTGCTTAGTATACCACCATGGAATTATGAATTCTGGATTTTTCAATTCATTTTAAAATTGTATGCTGCACCCTTCGCCATTTTGTCATGAAACATTTGTCATGAATTTTTCTTTTATTCCAAACTGGCTCTATTAAAATACTTATTACATACCTTTATATATCATCTAATCTATTAAAAGCGTTATTAATAAATATCAATTTATCTGATTATTAATAAAAAATGAAAAAAAAAAAACTTTTAATTTTTAAATATTCTATTAGATTCCTAAGAAAGTGAGAAAAGCGGAAATGGATGTTAAGTTATAATTTGAAAAGAAGATGATTCTATTATATTTTTTATGCAGACTGTTAAATTCAAGAGAGGCGCATTGTTAGTAAAAATTTGTCATCTGCAATGTTTATCAAATTACGATCATCTAGAAAATATCTGCATTTTAAGATGAAATCTCAAAAAGAAAAATTTCACAGGTAGACAAATGCTTAGAAATAATATAATATGAATAGATAAAATCATTTTTTTTTAAATTAATATTCTTAAGTTTTAGGTTTACTATATTTCTTTGAAGTCACGAAAGATTAACAATGGTACTTTAATAAAATTCCAGAATACTCAATTTTTTTAGCAACGTACATGGTACCCTTTGTCGGGACTACGTTTTCTGGAAACCACTTTTAAATTTTAAACCATGTTGTTGGCGCACTTTTAAAAAATCTTTGCATTTTTGTAGTCTGCCTTCATCAAACAATAACTTGTCACTAGTAACTTTTTACAAACTACACAACTTAAATGTTTTTTAAACGCCATTATATTGTAATAAATAAAAAAAAAAAAAAAATTACTAAAAAAAATTATTGCAAGTAATTAAGCTCCTAAACTATTTACACCATGCACGTCAATATTTAATTTATAAATAACATATTTGTACCTGGTAACCCAAGCAGCATTTGGACGTCGGGACAACGTTGTCACGCGACCAAACGTCGGGGCGCAACGTCGGTACAACCTCGTGCCAACCCAAGTCTGCACTAGTTTGGAGAATAATTTTAGGGTCGAAACGACGTTGGATACCGACGTTGGCCAGAAGCCTAATTTAGTACAAACTGCAAAGTTGTTTAAAAACACTAATTCAACAGAAATACAAACCATTATGCCCAAGTCGCGTTTTATTCTAAATTGGGATAATTATAGTTAAAAACATATTTTCTTTTATGATTTAGTTAGAGACATATGTCAGATGGCAGTGAAGGAAAACAAAACAAAAGTATTTAAGTGTGGAGAATGTTTGAAGATCATAATCTATGATCATAATTATTGAAACACCTTAACTGACTCTGTAACTCGTTACTCAAGGCATAAAAGTTAAACGCAAACAACTTTATTGATAAATGTATTGTTTCTACTTTGAAAAATACTACACGGGCTTTCTTAAAAATTAAAGGAGTTTTGTGCGCCTTTGAATTTTTTTTAAAATGAGAACAATTTATTCGCAGTCGAAAATTGTTTCCGCGTGTTTTTTAGGTCAAATATTTCCGTTAATGTATTCAAAAGCAGGAATTGCTATTTAGGAACGAAACATTTCTTATTTAACAACATGGCGGCTTTTACTTTGGCTGTTTTGAGATTAAGATGGAGTAGTTCGAGTAGTCGCATTCTGGACTAATAAAGTCGCAGTTCGGCCTTAACAGGTAGTATACTAGTCGCAAGATTGCCGAATTTAGTCATCCTAGAGTCTAGCTTGTGCCGCCCTCTATAATCTAAATAAACGAGGGGGTGGATAAAATATCGGTAATATATGTCGATATGGTTAAATTTAGTTTTATATGTACCTTTCTTATGTCCATATTTTAATTAAGTTTTTTTATAAAATAAAAACAGTACTGAACTGTCTGACTGAACAGAACAATTGAAGTGAAAATTTAAGATTTAAGGTTATGGTTCAATACAGTTGCAAAAGGTAGTGACTCGACGTCCTACCAACGTAAGAATAAGGAAATCTAAACAGCGTTGGAATTAGTAAAACAGACGACGTTTGTATAACGTTGGAATAGGTCCTGAAACTGACGTCGGAAAACTTATATTGTCCAACGTTGTAACTGCGTTGTCCGAATCACCTAAAGATCACTTAAGCAAAAAAGCTTAGAAGACAACGTTTATTCGACGTCGCAGAAGCTTCTACTTTGCTGTAGTACTAGTCCAACGTCGGCACAATTATGTAAAAAACGTTTAAATTTATTTTAATACCCAAGGTAGTGAGCTTAACTATTTTTGCAACTAATCCAACGTTGTGTTTAGTGAACATGTGGTCGCAAGTCGAAAATGTTACTTGGGAACTTGAACAAAATAATGTCTGAATTAAAAAGCTCAAAAATAATTGAAATGAGAAAAAAAATTGTTTCTATGAAATGAAGTACTCCATAACATTGTTACGTCAGTCGCATCGGCTCATCATTATCGGCTGCCGACGGGTCTAAATAAACTATCTTTCTCACGCTTATAGATACTCACAAGACTTTCTTATAGCGCTCATTTTAAAAATCTTTTATTCTAACATAAAAATTAACAAAAAGAAAAAAAAATTAACACATATTTTTAATATCATCTAATAAACACGCTGTAAAAATTTTTAGAATACTTTAAAATAAAATAAAAAAAAAAAGGTATAATAATTAAACATATTTTGAATGGTCGGGTTACACTTTAAACCCGAAAAAAAGTCTGGCATACATATTTCTAGGTTAAATAGATGCTAAAATTTAAGATCAAACAAATTTCAAGTTGCCTAAAGAATGTTTTTTGATTTATTTTTTGCAATGTTATGGGCTGCAGTAGCGAAATACCCCAACCCCCCAGCCAGACTTAGGGTTCTGGGTTCACCAGTTATTAAAGTTTATTTTTTTTGTTATTCTACCACCTGCCTAAAATATGTTCTCTAAATCTGTCGCCAGCTCTCCGGCTATAACGAGTGTTAAATTAGAGATAGAAACATTGATTTTTCTTCCTTGGATCGATTGTAAAAATAATTATTTAATTTAGCAAAATTACAGTTATATAATTATAAACCGTTTTTTTTTCACTAACTGTATTTATAGTGGTTTACAGTAATTTTGTTAAATTCATAATGAATATTCTCGTTGATTATTGTTTTAAAATAAATAAGGACAGTGTCCTCCACAAAATGCGAGTTGCTAGCCTTCCTAATAATTCTATTGCTCTACCTAGATCGTTATTGAGAAGCTACAAACCTATCGATAAAAAATATGCATGAAAAATTTACTTTCTAGTAGACAGGATACTGGTACACAGGTATAGTATCAAATTTATTAGTGATTTTTAGCCGCGTATTTCACAGATCGTAACACAGAGCAAGTTAAACTGTTTAAAGAGAATCTACCCCGGAATGGGGTAGCTGTGGAAACACTGCCGTTACCACTTTTCTTGACGCTAGCTCGTGTGTCACGACCTTGCATTTTTACTCCCAACGAGCGTAAAGAAGTTTCTGTTTTAAAATAGCATTTTAAATTTCAATCTGAAGTGCTCATGTCTGTGTTAAACCATTAATTTTTAATCAAGTAGCTTTGGACAAATAGAGTTGATCACCTAATGTTTTTAGTGTCAAAAAAAAAACAAAAAAAAAAAAAAATAAGTAATATTTTTTTAACATAACTATTTTTTTAAATAGGACGAGGGTGGTTCATTAGAAAAAATTGATAATAGTTTTTTTTATAATATATTGTTTCAGATGGAAAGAAACACTTTAGTTCATGGCAAAAGTATCTTTGTTAATGTCGATAATTACGGGCATTGACCGATGAATAGGTCATTTTTAGAATTTAGAATGAGTGGGAGGGGGAATCACTTCAACCTTACAGGATCCCATTGTGTCCCCTTTCTTGAATCATAACTCATCATATACAGTCCCAGGGCTTTGACAAAAGTTTTCGCAGTAGTCTGGGACGGTTTTATAGGAGGTAGTTCTCCATCTCCACTATCAGTCGTACCACCATGGCAATGAATGGTTGTCGTCTCGTGGTGCTCAGTGATGAGGTGTACTGGTGTTTCACCATCTTCCCACAGAATCTGTGACATTCGCCGTTGTTTCTTCTTAGTTTCAATCTACTGAGTGTTCATTGAGACGTGACAGTGTCCCAAAGAAAACCCTCAGACAATCCGGGGCTGAAGATTGTTCTTACCAGACCCAGGAAGATCTGTGATTTTCTTGATCATAAGCCTCAGAAACTTCTTCGAGTGTTCTAGACCATTGCAAAGATATTCCTATTCCAGGTTGTGGATGGAATCTTCCAAGTTCTTCAGTTCCGCCTTCAGTTGGTTACCACTTGGAAAGCAGAACGGTTCTGGTCCAGTTAGTCGAGTGTTCGCTCCTTTCCTAGCTAGATTATTTGCTTTTCATTGCCTTTCATCCCTTGGTGAGCAGGCACCCAGTGTGGAGTGACTTTGTTTTCTTTGCTCAATTTGTTCAGCTTCTAAGGCATTCTTTGACCAATTGAATTGATTGATACTGAGTCGCGATCGCCTTAACGCTGCTTCTGACTGTCAGATAAGATGGCTATTTCTTATTTCCGATATTTCCTATCTAAGAGGTGCTGTACGCATCCCTCGATAGCGTAGATTTCGACCTCGTAGGATACTATGGTAAGTGCCCATTGGTTCGGACTAATTAGCTCTCGGCCCAAACACTCCGATCCCTATGAATAGGTCATAGATTCTGCTGGGTAGGCAATAATTGCAATATATTTCCTATTGCTATGTAAACAAACCAACAATTAATATTATACCACAGGGAGGTCTATACCATCATATTACACCTCCCCCGGCAATCTATGGAATTTACATTGTGAAATGAAAATTTCAAAATCTCTACATAAAGTAAAAAAAACCAGCCTTCCAGTCTCCTTAACCTATAGAAACTTTTACCCAGTATCTTTTTAGTATTGAAAATACTTCCCCTAGGAGACGCAAGACCTTGTCGTTGGTGGGGAAGTTCCTTGTCAGGTGCTGGCAGAATCTCCTCTAGCACTCTCTTTGGCTCGGTCTAAAAAGCATCCCATTGTCTTGTCCCTAGCTGTAATGTCGTGGCCAGGGAATTCCACCAAGACATTTAAACCAGGCACCTTCTACTGTCTGTGGTCATGTCTCGCGGGTAGAGGGTGTGGGGGGTCATGGCTTAACCGCTCGGACCAAGAGGAGACAACCTCACCAAAACCTAAATCCTACGATGGCGTGGCCAGGTCAAAGGGATGCGTGGCTAGATAGGGGACTAGCCATTACTGGTCTCAACCTTGGGGCATCAGGGGCACCCCATTGTATTTTACCCTTTACTTCTACATGCGGGGCTCTATAGAAGTGGACTGACTATCCTTAGCGACTCGTGGAAACACTATGAGCAGTAATAAAAGTAAAAACACCAACACCACCGGAGAAGCTGTGGGGAAACCCCTAGTGACACTGGGAACAGGAACAATGAAAGTTCCAAGGAGTCAAACCCCCCAAAGAAAACTACAGGAGAGGTGGCTGACACTTGCGCGGGACCGTCCTGCGCTAGTGGTACTCAAGCTACCACCTCCTTTAGCAAGGTCGGGAGCTTACCTCTAAACCCAACAGGCGACAAAGACTACCGTTTAGTCTACCTGGCCTGGGTCAACATGGCGGGTTGGACGATCCGCTGAGAGGGGGTCTATGAGCAGAAGCACGGAGATACCTCCGGACTTGCTCCACGCAGACTTGCTCCAGAGAAGCTAAAGAGAAAGTACTCCTCCATAGAGGGGAGGGTAAAGGAACTAAGAAACAGCCTGGAAGAGGGAACGAAAACCTTTCACCTCTGCTCCGGCAAGAGAAAAGCCAGGATGGAAAGACGGCCAACACCGAGAGGCAAGCAGGGACATATCACCAGCTTTACCGCTAATGCTGATGGCGAAATGGCAGGCTACCAAAGGATTTCTGGCTCCAGAGTGTTTGTAATGACCACCGATCAGCAAACCGCTCTAGAAGAGGCGATACTGGACGAAGTAGTGGCGATTGGAGAGCAACACAACGACGAACAAAATGTGGGTCAAATGCGATTTGCGGGGATTCACTTTCGGATGGGCATGATCCTCATAGACTGTGTATCTCCAGAATCGGCGGATTGGTTGATAGAAACGGCACCTAAACTTAAGGATTGGCAGGGGCCGGGACTGGTTGCTCTGAAGGGAGAAACATCCCTAAGGAGGCGACCATCACGGTCTATTTGCCAAGGAGCAAAGGAAAGACACCACCTACCTGCTGAACCTTATACAGGGTCAGAACTCCGATGTAAGGACGTCGTGTTGGCGAATCATCAACTCGAGGGAGGAGGGCCACGGCCAAGTCCTCACAATAGAAATTGACCTCAAATCCAAGGAGGCAACAGAGAAAGAGGGATACACTCTTTACTATAGATTCGGGACAACACCGGTAGTTTGTGTCTTAAGAAGAGACTGGTTAAACAGGTAGAGAAAATGGAGACATATCCTCCAGCCTCTACCTCACAGGAACCTCAGCCGAAGACTAGCTCCTCGACTGTGAAGGGCACGGAGGCCAAACCCAACCGTGGAAGGGTGTATATCCTCGGAGAAGGTTGATGGCCACTTCTCGGAGGAGGAACTTCCGTTGTCAGAGGAAAATGAGGAATACCCTATCCACTCTACAACGGGAGAATCCTCACACACCCCAGTAACCTAAACCAGATCCAACGTCCTACTCCAGCCCCTCTTCCCACCCCAAACTTATCCTTTCTTCCTTCCCCCCCCATGCATGGGATATCCCAAATAACCTGCACCATGCAAAAGGGTCTTCCGCTACAATAGCAAGACTCTTTGAGAAAAATCATTATGCAATGGTACTAGCCCAGGAACCCTGGGTGTATCAGGGACAAATTAGAGGTTTGTCTGGAAAAAATTCAAAGGTAATATATGATAACAGGCAGGAATTTCCCCGAGCCTGTATTCTTATAAGAAAGGACATTAACTACACATGTGTATCAGAATTTACAACCCGAGATCTTGTTCCTATCATGGTTCAGCTTAATATCGAGGATTGCAGTAAAAACATCGTGATTGCCTCTGCTACGAAGCTACACGGAGGGAGAGGAAGAGAGAGAGCAAATCTCCTACTTTATACACACTTTCCAGGTAGCATACCTATTGATATTTATGTAGCTCCCACTGAACCTCACAATCCTTGCAGGGAAGATTGGGAAGTGGCCAAGCTAGTAATAACAGAACAAAAGCTGAAATGGGCGATCGACACCTTTCAGCCCTATAAAGCAGCAGGAGGGGATGGGATCTTTCCTGCCCTTCTAAAGGAGGGTCAGCAAACAGCTACTCACCATCTACTAAGCATTACAAGAAGCAGTCTAGCGATGGGATATATACCAACCACATGAAGAAGAGCAAAAGTAATCTTCATATCCAAAATAGGCAAAACTAACTGGACAAATCCCAAGTAATTTAGGCCTATTAGTCTCACATCGTTTATACTAAAAACGCTGGAGAAAGTAGTTGACAACCATATTGGAGAAAATCATCTAAAGGTTAAACCACTGCATGATAGTCAGCATGCATATAGAACAGGCAGATCCACAGAAACTGCTCTGTACCAATTAACGGAGCTAATACAGACAAGTCTGGATAGCAAAGAGACAATACGCAACTGAACGAAGTACAATTGAGACATATATTTTAGAATTGTTATGTACCTGCATCTCTCATAGCAAATATTATTTTCGCTTTAATTGATGCTCACAGAATTTTTTTTTGCCGGTGCCGTTCAAAAGCCTACTTATTTAAAGCGGGCGAATTTTATATACTCTATATCCCTAAGAGGAATCGAGCAAAATATCAAGTGTTATATTTTTGAAAAGGTAATTTTAAATTCTTTTCAATAAATTAAAATGTACAGGGTGTCCCATATAAAAAATCAAATTTTCTGTTGATACTCCTTAAATTATTAATTTTAAAAAAATTATACTTAAACCACATACCCTACGTAAAAAGATGCTTTTGGAAATGTTTTCTAAAAAATACAAAATTTCTATAGCAAAAAAAGTTACAGCGATTTGTTAAAATGCATATTTTTGAAAACACCCTGCACCTCGAAACGGTAACAGATATCGATATGCGGTTTTCACCATCATGTTTTTGACAAAGGGTGGGCTCTCTAGACACCGATGTGGATTTTGTCTATCTATAGAAAGGGTGTTTCATTTAAAAGCGTCGAATTTGACCCTGTACAGTTATTACAGTTACTCGAGCAGGGATGGTTTTAGGTCCAGAAGTTGTATTCGATATATCTAGTTGCTTTAATATTGAAGGATGATGGAGATCAACATTATGTCGCTAACAGATTTAGGTGTGTACAAAGTACAGTGCAGTCACATTCTTGAGATAAGTTCATATGCTGGACGTCCAGGGACCTTCGTATGAGAACTTCTAATCGAGACGATCGTCTTTTTGTAAGTTTATCGCTAAGAAACGTAGGAAGAAGATTGAACAAAGCAAATCTTATGTCAAGATGACCAGCTTCAGGACCATAACTTACTAGGTCTGTTGACCAGTACTAAAAGGCGGTTTACTCTTACAAGGACAATTCAAAATTTAAAAATCTACGATGACATAAACCTTTCAAGTTGAGTGACAAAAAGATCAAATAACTAAACACAAAAAATAGAAACAAAAACAAACAACAAGAAAAATGTTATTTACATCACCGTATCACAGTTGGATAGAGTATCACAGACGAGTATCACAGTTGGTGGTATCTTTCATAAATTTCAAAATATTTAAATTTTCCTCAGTTCTAAATTTTCACGGATTTCACCATGTATATCGAATCTGTTTCTTTCTACCATATATTGAGGACATTCACATATAATATGAGTTACTGTCAACTCAACATCACAGACTATGCACATTTGAGGTATTTCTCTGTTAAGCAGATATGCGTGAGTCACCGCAGTATGCCCAATACGAAGACGATGCACTCTGGATTCATCCGCTCGTCCTAGTGTAAGGATGTAAGGATGGGGTTGACGGAATCTGTTTTATTGCGCAAAGTTTTGAAGGTTTACCTGCCCACTCATCCTGCCATTCCCTCTCTATTCTTTTATGCAGTAGTACTTTAAGATCCATATTATTAATATAAGGGAAATTAATGGTATCTCTTCTAGCAGCCTGCTGAGCAGCTTCATCTGCCATTGTGTTGCTAAGTATATTAGTGTGGCTGGGACCCATACAAACGTGAGTTCGTTTTCCTTTTCGCGGTTACTCGTCGAATAAGCGTATGAATTTTTTGTTTCAGCACTGATAAAAAAGATGGACTTGAACTCATCGTCATCAGTTCTTTGAAAAAAAAAATTTTTTTTTTTATAAATATTTTATTTTAGCGTAAAAGAAATATTTCCCTTGAAAAACTCACTTAACTCAAGAAAACTTGTTCTCCTTGAAAAATTCGAAAAATTTCTCTTGAATCTATTTCATTCAACCAAGTTGCAAGTTACTTTGTTTTTAAGATAATAACAAAAATACGCTAGAAAGTACTTCATTCAAGAAAACCTGGCATTTTCAATAGCTAAATTACTCTTTTTTGATTGAAAATAATAACGACACGCAAAGACGATGACGAAGGATGGTATATATAATCAGTCGACAGTCCGATCAGTTTCACGTCGCATTTGATAGGTCGCACATCATATTACGTATGGGTTTTGTTGCTTGGAGTTTTCCACTTGGAATTTTGCATAATTTGCTTTTTAAACGCATATCATATAACAAATTAGTGATCGTTATCAACATGTATTATCATTTTTTATGGACAAATTTTAGGATATATGGATTCTTTAAAGGAGTTTCTAAAAAAATGGAAATTAGAGCATTTATTTGCTTTATTTGAAGGTAAGAGACCTAATGCACTTGTTTAGATAATGCATGCCTGACTGTAGATAGAAAAAGAATATAGGTATCGATTTTTTTATGCAAACAATTACAAAAATATATTATTATAATTTTAATAATTTGTTTGCTTTACTTTGATTAATAGTGATAACATTTTTTTGTAATTTGTAGAGTGATGAACCACCCCAAAAAATACCAAGGAGTGAAGAAGCAGAAATAACTACCTACTATCGAGGAAAATAATATCACTTTTCTAACTACAGACTAGGAAAACCTACATTTATCAGAAAATAATATACCTCGTAATATGCCTGTATGTCTGTATGCCTGTATATATGATGTATAGACTTCTCTTAGATCAAAATAAATTTTAGTTGAGTCAATGGTATTCGCTATTGGTTTAAGAAAAGTGTCCCTTTTCAATCAAGAATTTTTGCATGAGTCAAAGAGACTATTGTTCTTGTAGCAAGAACTTCTTTGCATATTAATTTTGGGTCAAGAATGAAATACTTTGGACAGATTGATTCTTCTATTCTCTAAAGTAATTTTTTATAGCTTAAGAAAAGAGAGTTAATGCTTTGGGTAAAGAAACGTCGTTCTTGGCCCTATTGAAAAGCGCCAATCTTTTGGGTCAAAGTCATATTCATTTCGACTGAGAGATCATTTTTTTCAGTGAGAGGATCATGGACAATAGGTCGGGGCGAAAAAGGGGAAAAAATTTTTTTTCCGAAAAATTATATGTCAGACTATGTCATTTC